GCAACTCGGCAGGGCAGGCTAGGCAGGGCGGCGCGGCTCGGCAGCGCGGCGCTCTTACCAGTGACAAGGCAGGGGTAGGGCCGGGGCAGGGCCGAGGCAGAGCCGGGGCAGGGCCGGGGCAGGGGGGCAGGGCCGGGGCAGGGCCGGGGCAGAGCCGGGGCAGGGCCGGGGCAGGGGGCAGGGCCGGGGCAGGGCCGAGGTAGGATGCAGGGCCGGGGCAGGGGGCAGGGCCGAGGCAGAGCCGGGGCAGGGCCTGGGCAGGAGGCAGGGCCTGGGCAGGGCCGAGGCAGGATGCAGGGCCGGGGCAGGGGGCAGGGCCGAGGCAGAGCCGGGGCAGGGCCGGGGCAGGGCAGAGGCAGGATGCAGGGCCGGGGCAGGGCCGGGGCAGGGCCGGGGCAGGGCCGGGGCAGGGCCGGGGCAGGGCCGGGGCAGGATGCAGGGCCGGGGCAGGGCCGGGGCAGGGCCGGGGCAGGGCCTGGGCAGGGCCGGGGCAGGGTCGGAGCAGGGCCGGGACAGGGCCGGGGCGAGGTCGGGGCCGGGCCGCGGCAGTGCAGGAGCAGGGCCGGGGCAGTGCGGAGACAGGGTCGGGGCGAGGGCCGGGGCAGAGCTGCCACAGAGCCGCAGTAGGGCCGGCTGGGCCTGAAGGGGGCCTTTAACGGGGCCTGACGGGGCCGTACGGAGCCTCTAACGGGGCCTGACGGGGCCGACGGGGCCTCTAACGGGGCCTGACGGGGCCTACGGGGCCTCTAACGAGGCCTGACGGGGCCTTACGGGGCCTTAAACGGGGCCAAACGGGGCCTGACGGGGCCTCACGGGGCCTCTAACGGGGCCTGACGGGGCCGTACGGGGCCTCTAACGGGGCCTGACGGGGCCTTACGGGGCCTCTAACGGGGCCGAAAGGGGCCTTACGGGGCCTTAAACGGGGCCAAACGGGGCCTGACGGGGCCTTACGGGGCCTTAAACGGGGCCAAACGGGGCCTGACGGGGCCTTACGGGGCCTCTAACGGGGCCTGACGGGGCCGTACGGGGCCTCTAACGGGGCCTGACAGGGCCTTACGAGGCCTCTAACGGGGCCGAAAGGGGGCGTTACGGGGCCTTAAACGGGGCCAAACGGGGCCTGACGGGGCCTTACGGGGCCTCTAACGGGGCCTGACGGGGCTGTACGGGGCCTCTAACGGGGCCTGACGGGGCCGTACGAGGCCTCTAACGGGGCCGAAAGGGGCCTTACGGGGCCTTAAACGGGGCCAAACGGGGCCTGACGGGGCCGCTAACGGGGCCTTACGGGGCATAACGGGGCCTTACGGGGCCTTACGTGGCGGGCGCTAGCTCTGAGGGCAGGCGCAGGGGCCGCGACGGGCCTCGAAGGGAAAGCGCGACGCGTGCGTCAAGTAGGCAGTAAAAAAAAAATAGTGGTGGGCCCTTTTTTTAAAAAATCTCGAAACTAGCTCTATACCATGTGAGAAAGATAGACGAAAGAATGAATGAACTAGAAATGAGATGGGTACATATAGGAAACACATAAGTGTTGTACCCACTAAGAGCTACCCCACTACAGCCTAAATAGACCATAGCAGATATAAGTTTGACAGTGCGAAGTAGTGGTAACTGGGTCGAGCTACCTCGCTGGCAGTCGCCTGAATCTTCAACGGTCCACGTCAACGCCATCACAATGAAACGGGCTGTCGCCGCTGGAGCCGACGTGTACGCGGTGGATATCGCATTGGTAGGAGAAGCAGAGCTGCCGAGTGATTTTCAAAAACTGCTGGCAGCGGTACCGCTCGAACTACAGGAACTGTTGAAACGGTACCCGGGATTTTTCCGGACGATTTACCAGAGGGACTGCCACCTCAGCGGGCGCATGATCACCGAATATAATTAGAACCGGGAGCACAGCCAACTGTACAGCGACAGTTTCGACTGACACAACCCGAGCTCGATGAACTGAGGAAGCAGCTAGATTACCTGTTAGAGAAGAAATTCATCCGACCGAGTTCATCACCATTCGCCGCACCGATACTATTCACACCGAAAAAAGACGGAGGGTTTCGTATGTGTATAGATTACAGAGCACTGAACATGGTAATAGTCAAGTCGCGATACCCTATTCCCCGCGCCGACGAACTGATCGATCAACTGCGAACCGCACGGGTCTTTTCGAAAATAGATTTACGGGGAGGTTACCCCTAGATTCGGGTCGAACCATTGGACTACGCCAAGACGGCATTTAGAACTAGGTACGGGTCATTTGAGTACATCGTGATACCATTCGGGCTGACCAACGCACCGGCGACATTTCAGATGACCATGAACGAGGCGTTTAGGCCGCTCTTATGTAAATGCGTGATAATTTACCTCTACGACATCCTAGTCTACAGTCGTGATAAGAAGCAGCACTTAGCAGATCTGGAAGCAGTTTTTAAAGTTTTAGACGGGCACAGACTACTGACCAAGGGTTCCAAGTGCGAGTTCTTCCAGGATAGGTTATATTTTTTTGGGCACGTTATTTCGGAGGCTGGATTTGAGATCGACCCAGAGAAGCTGGACACGGAGAAGCGTGGCACCCCTTCTCTGCCTTGAAAAATGTTCTCTGTTCACCGCCCGTACTACGCATCGCCGACCTACACCGCCCATTTGAAGTGGTTACAGACGCAAGCGACATCGCCATTGGAGCCATACTGCTACAGGATTTCGGCAATTTACAGCCCATCGCATACGAGTCACGAAAACTGCATCCGGCCGAGAAGAATTACCCAATACACGACCGCGAAATGCTCGCGATCGTGCATGCGTTCAAAGTGTGGCGCTGTTACTTGACCGGCGCAGACTTGACAGTACGGACAGACCACAAACCGTTACGGTACCTACGCGCACAACCCCACCTCAACCCACGACAGATCCGCTGGCTCGATTTCATCGAGTCAACTTTCCACTACACGGTCACCTCAACCCTAAATGATGACCAACGTGCAACGACACGTGGCATCGTGTCCCACCTGCCAACTCATGAAGTCATCACGGAAACGACCGGCAGGGCAGTTGTAGCCGATACCACCCCCAGAGCGTGCTTGGCAGCAGGTCACGGGGTTACCGGCTGGAGCAAGTGGGAACGACGCGATCCTGGTCGTCGTCGATCGGCTGGCGAAAATGGCACATTTCGCAGCCTGCAAAAAATCAATCACAGCCGAAGAAACAGCCCGCCTCTTCATCTCCACCGTCGTTCGACTACACGGGATACCAGCATCGATCATCGGAGACCACGATACGAAGTTCACCAGCAACTTCTGGTGGAACCTGTGGCAGCAGTTCGGCACCCGACTACAGTTCAGTTCTCCTCGAGACCGACGGACAGACTAAACGGACAAACCAGATCATGGAGCAACTCATCCGAGCCACGTGCGACGACCCGACCACCTGGGAACAACAGTTGCCACTCATGGAGTTCGCGTACAACAACTCGCCATCCGCCACGACCCAACAGTCACCGTTTTACCTGAACTACGGACAAGACCCTACAGTACCCATGACATCGAATCCCGGCAACCCAGTGCCGCGCGCGCAACAGTTCGCATAAATTTTACAAGCAGCACGGACCTGAGCAGCAGACGCAATAAAAAAATTTGAACATCATCGCTAAGCGTAACGCCGACCGCCACCGCCGATCCGTTACTTACCAGCCCGACGACTTCGTACTACTCGATACTCAAAACCTCCGCCTGCCCATCACCCCAAAACTCTGCCCCCGTTATTGCGAGCCATTTCGCATCAGCCACATGATCACACCCGTCACTACCCACCTCCTCCTCCCTGCTGACTGGTACGTCAGCCCGTCATTCCAAACAGTGAAACGTTACCCGCTCGCGACACTCGCCTCGACTACGACTCCCGCCACTGTTCACGACGCGACCCAACCTCACGGTTCGGTTGGTAACCCGTGATCCGGGCCTCCGCCTCGACATATCCCAACCTCGGCGCTAGGCCCGTAGCGCACCCCAATTCCTCGTGTTACCGTTACCACTCTAGTTCGCTATATATTCTTCGCGCATGCTCATTGTATCGTTTGCTTCGATAGTGCAATTCTCGCTCGCTCGGTCGCTCAATTGCACTCGTAACCGTAATAATGAAGACACCGTTACTGAGCCATTTCCCTGCTGTCGGCATCGACCGAATCACCGACTTGACCTCAGCTGCCAATCAGCTGCTTCATCTGACGCTGTTCTGACTTGGCATTGGCTTCCCAAACGCCGTGTCTCACAAGCCAACCAAAATTGTAAGATCGGGTTTGGCGCGAACCAAGCTGTGAGGTGACCGATGGACGCTACATGTACATCGCATCTGCCTGGTGTGCTGTGGTGTGGAGGACTTCAAGGTGATTCTTTCTTTCCTTCCCTTCGTTATTGTCACGTTCGTGGAACCAACGCGGCTTTGTGCAATTTTGCGGAGCACAAAGAATACCGCAGAAAACAAAGCAAACTTTCACTGCACGACGTTTTTTACCTTACCTAACCCAACCGAACCGAAGCATCACAGCATGGAATTGGATTTTTCTTGATTCACGGGATGCTGCAACTGTCAGACAGAGCTTGTTCAAGCAGGCATTTTGCGGTTAGCTTGCTAGAGTGGGCTTGCTCGCTGCAGAAAACAAAGAGAGGTTGCTGGACAGGAAAGGAGCAAGCCAGCAAGGTCGCCCTTTGCTGGTGCCATAGTTTGGTAGCCTTTCCTTCCATCTCCTCTTAATCAAGGAGTCGGGAACAATGGCTGCTGCAGGGTGGCTGGATGTCACCGGTAAGGAGTTTTAAATTAAGTGTGTCTCGTTATAGCAAATAGCATGGCTGTGTGTTTCTGTGATGATGCGACATTGGCGGCCGGTATAGCTTGCATGCTCCTAATGAAACATATCACCCTGATTGATTGTGTGCTACTTTCTTGTTACCCGATTGACTGCGCGTATTTGTATGCCAGTGATTGGTGCGCGGGATCTCAAAGATACGGAGATTTTTGGCATGCAAGATCCGTATGCGGTTCTGATGTACGCTCAACAGACTCACCGCACCAAGACCCACAAAGGTGACGCCTGAAACATAGAACGTCGTTGTATTGTCATTGTCTCGGATTTATTTGTTCCGAACAGTTCTAACTTGCCCGTTATTACAGAGACTTGAAAATACTGTTTTATTTTTCCCAAATAGAATCACATCGTTGTGAATTTCCGTGAGTTGATTTTAGGCTAACTGGTTGAATGCTCCTGGTTTGTTTCATACATTCGGTGAATGCTCTTTGTCGTATTTCTCACGCGTTTTGACCACGACCTTCCAGCAGTCGCCTATTCTCCAACATGTTTTCTCTACATATTTTTCGTGTCCATTTCTTGCTTACTAGACGGACACACGTCGCCTGTGTGGAACACGACGTTCCGTCTGAACGTTATCCATGGCGTCGACGAGGCGCAACTCGCGGTCTGGAACGAAAACAGGAAGGCGGATGACAAGATTGGGACTTGCAAGTAAGCTCCCTTTCAGCCAGCTCAAGTTTGTTTTGCGTTACCCGCAATTGCCCGCACATTTTTTTCAATTCCGGACGAATGACGACAAGGACGTAACCTGCAAGGACCCATTTTGCCTCTCAGCTTTTAGCTTCTTTTTTGTGATTTTGTTTACGGTACATAAGAGTTGAAGGTAGTGGTATTAAGCGCATATACCTCTCTTTTCTAAGTAAGCAATTCCCTGCGTAAGAATGCGTTTTTTTTAGGTGTTTTCTTTCTCTCTATTTTCTGTCCGTGCCATGGTATTCTCAGGGTGAATATCCGACAGGCCTTCAGCTTTCCAGTGTGGGACACGTGGCATCCTCTCTTTACTCCCAAGGGCAGGTCAGCATTCTAGCATTTCCACCCCGGCTTCGAAGCATTCAAGTCCATGACACCACGTTCAGGATGAAGTGGAAGAAACACTCGGCATTTTCTAGCTCTTTATTACGAAGGGTCCTCTGCCATTTACTTCCGGATAAACGTCAGTGGAAGTGAAAATTCTTTTGCTGGCGTACTGTTTTGTTTTTCATTCTCCGTCTCCTTCCCTCTCCTTCTGTGAATGCTTCAAAATTCTGTGCACCGTCTTGCAATTTCAGGCAGCAGGGGAGTCTTCGTCTCGCCCTGAAGTACTACCCAGTATGCTCACCTCCTTACCCACCTCTCTCGTGTATCATTCACTGTCCTTTGTCGACACTGGTCCCTCCCTTGGTTCGTGCTGGCCTACACTCGCTTCTGCTGTCCGCTCCCGAGGACGTGTGATTAACTTGTCAATACAAAACGTTTCATCCCAGTGAGCGTTTTATACATCGCTCGTCGTAGCACATGTTTTTTTGTTATGAAAACCATGCGTTTCCAGTGACATTATAATCACCCGTTACCTCCCCATCTTGCTTCACCACCCGCCCCTTCTTCCCCATCTCAGCCTGTCGGTGCTCCTGGCGCCGCTGCCCCCTCCCACGCCGCCCCTCCCCCGCACGGTTACCCCCAGCAGCACGCCCCTCCCCCTGCCGGCCACGCCCCTCCCCCTGCCGGCCATGCTCCCCCACCATCCGGTTACCCTGGTTACCCGCCCCAGGGCGGTTACCCTCCTCAGGGGGGTTACCCCGGCGGACATGCCCCTGCCCCCTATGGCGCCCCTCCCCCTGGCGGACACGCCCCTGCACCCTATGGCGCCCCTCCCCCTCAAGGCTACCCGCCCGCCCCATATGGCGCTCCGCCTCCCCACGGTTACCCTCCCCAGGGTTACCCGCCCCAGGGTTACCCTGGGTACGGTGCTCCTCCTCCCGCCCATGGGCATGCGCCTCATGTGCATCATGCTCCCAAGCCGGCTGTTGTGGTGGTGCATGGCCATGGTGAGTTGGGGGGAGTGAGCTTATTGTGCGTGGGAAAGGGGGAAAGGGCAGAGGGAAAGGGCAGGCGGCTTTGGGAAGGACCTAGGCTCTCTCTCCCTCTATTTCTCTCTCTCTCTCTCTCTCTCTCTCTCTCTCTCTCTCTCTCTCTCTCTCTCTCTCTTTCTCTCTCTCTCTCTCTCTCTCTCTCTCTCTCTCTCTCTCTCTCAACCTATATCTCACAACACCCTGTCCCCCACACCCCTTCCCACCACTCACCACCCCTTCCTCACACACAAACATACTCACATGCACATCCACACACACACATACAAGTGCTAACATCCATGTTCATATGCACGTGTGCAGCATCCATGGTCATTATGAGCATGTATTCATTGTTCCCTTGTATTCATTGTTCCCTTGTATTCTGCTAAAACTCACTTCCATATATTTTCACACTCGCTGTGTTTCCCTCAATCATCGGGTCATCAACTGTGGAAGCATTTCATGGTATACATTAATCAACCCCTTCCCTTTTGTTGCCCGGCTCCACAGGCCACCACCACCATCACAAGCGCAAGTTCAAGGGCGGCTTCAAGAGGAAGGGGTTTTTCGGTAAGAGAAAGGGATTTTTGGGGAAGAGGAAGGGCTTTTTCGGAGGCAAGGGCTTTTTCTGACCCTTTTTTGCTTGATAAGGATGTAAGCAAACTATTCAAAATTACTGTACAGTAGTAGCAACATCCTATGATTCTTAGTGCTCATATAGTAGGTACAGATCTCTGCCATGTCATTGTTTCTTTAGGACTTTCCGTAGGGCAATTCCTGTGTCGACATTTGTGTCTCAATCCCCTATTTCCTGAGTTGCGTCGAAACATTTTGTCAATCTCGTGTCACAAAAAAGGAATGTATCGTGACACTAGGCGACCAGGCAAAATGCACAGTTGCGTGCATGTGATTGGGTGACACGAATGACTGTACACCAGTTTCTTCAACCAATTGGCTGGAGTGTGGTTTCGACGTGCAGGATATTTTCCCGCGGGAAATTCACATTGCAGCTTGTCCAGGTGCATTAACATTTCGAACAGCATGCAATTTTTAACAATGATGAGTGTTTACAATTCGTCAACGACGTCAGCGCGTTTCACACTGACCAATGAGAAATACAGTAAAAATCGCACTTGGGCGATTCGTGTGAGACAGGGCTGTCGATTCGTTTTGGGGCCCCCGGGCAAATCAGGGGGCCTGCCACGTGCGACCCTGTATCTAGCAGGGTTGGGGCGAGTCTTGGCCCTTTAGGCGTCAGGGCTGGAAAATTTTCCACCCTTTGAATCAGGTTTGGCGCGTCATATTTTGCTGCTTCATTTTAACTACAATGACTACAACTACAAACTACTACAAGCAAACAGTACAAAAAAAAATACTTGGCGTCATTTCTCTATGCACGCTTAGAAGGCTTCCTAGCCTTGGCAGCAGTGAAGATCTTGTGCACTTCTACCCACTCCACAGGATAGTCTAGCATCTTCACAGTCATCAGCTGATCTAGCTTAACATCACTAAGAGCAGTCCTGTCCCATGATTTTATTATGTTCTGCCTACTGAAGCCCCTTTCGCACTCAACAGTGCTAAGGGGCAGGACAGCAAGTGCACGCCACAAGTGCACGAGGGTGGGGTAATCATCCCTCCAGTCTGAGGTGCGTAGCACGTTAGTGAGGGCTTGCTGGAAAGTCAGGTCCTTGAACTTCTTGAACATTGTGGCAGCAAAGAGCTCCATCTCCAGCTGACACTCCTGGTACGTGACACCTGCGGGTGGTGGGGTGGGCGTAGGAGAAGAATAAGTTAAACATGGAAGCACCTATGATAATAACACTGCTGGGAATATAAAATGTACTGGATCATGGGCATTCTTACGTACCGGGCAGCTTCTCCTTGAACATGTCAAGGAGTTCGTAGAGGTGGACGTTGAGCCATCCTTCACGGTCAGCAGGGCGCGGCGGGTAGTGCATTGGCATGAAGAGTTTTGCCCCGTCAAAATGCTTCAGGTCCCCAAGGTGGTAGTCCAGCTTTGCGATCAACTCCTGCGCAAACTCCTGCCCCAGCTTGATGCACGAATCCAGGTCCGTCTTCTTGTCTTTGCCGATGGGGTTTTCATGCAGTATGTCTTTGATGGTGCATGCGGTCCCTTGCTTGTCGAGGCCGCGGATGGTGATCTCGCGCTTGTCAGGGCTGCCGTGCTTCTCGAGAAAAGCATGCAGGTGCTTGCTCTTCGGGGTCCCATAGTCTGCGCGGTTCTCCACGTAACGTTGCGCCAGCTTCAGCTTCAGTTTATCGACGAGGAGCTTCACCTCGCCGATGTCCACCTGCTCATTAGTAGGGGCAGGGCAGAGGGGCAGGGCAGAGGGGCAGGGAAGAGGGGCAGGGCAGAGGGGCAGGGCAAAGGGGCAGGGCACAGGGGCAGGGTACAGGGGCAGGGCAGAGGGGCAGGGCAAAGGAGCAGGGCAGAGGGGTAGGGCAGAGGGGCAGGGCAGAGGGGCAGGGCAAAGGAGCAGGGCAGAGGGGCAGGGCAGAGGGGTAGGGCAGAGGGGCAGGGCACAGGGGCAGGGCAGAGGGGCAGGGCACAAGGGCAGGGCACAGGGGCAGGGCAGAGGGGCAGGGCACAGGGGCAGGGCAGAGGGGCAGGGCAGTTAATAAAGAGCGCTTGTATCAGCAAAGGCCATGACATGATGCAAACTTACCACCAGCCTCTGAAACGCCATGTTGAGGGTGTTGAGCATCTCCAGCACGTCGGCGAGGAAGAAGAGCATGAACTGACACTTGAAACTTGTGCCGATCTTGTACGCGGCTTGGTCCTCTTCGTGCCAAAGCCAGAGGAGGATTGGCAGCACTTCGCAAAACCGCGCCACTGCATCCCCGCGTGAAAGCCAGCGCACGTCGAAAATGCCCTGAACTTCCAGTTGGGTTTTCATGACCACGTCCTGCAGCTGCATGAAGACATCTCTGGAGATGCTGGAGCGGCCGATGTGCTCAGCAGTCTTGCGAATCTGTGAGTCAATGACATTGAAGTCAGGGAACTTCTTGGCAACGCCTCCCTGTGACACGGGTACCAGTGAAACATGAGTTAAAAAACAGCAACTAGAGATGAGAATGGAACATACCAAACAAGCATTCTGACTCACCGGTGTGCCACGCAGTGCACAGCAACGAGCCACGGGCAGCGCTGCATTAAACGGCCCACAACCCCCTTCTTCATTCCCACCATAACCTTGGCACCGTCAGTGGACACACCCGCAAGCTTGTCCAAGGACAAGCCTTTGCTGTCAAGATGCGCCGTGATGGAAGCGTACAACGAGGCGCCATCGGCTTTGTCGACTGGTATGTTGCCAAAAAACTGCACCTCCGTCTGCTCGTTGCGCTCGAAGTGCACATACATGATCATGTGCTTGCCGTGCACGCGGTCCGTGCTCTCGTCGAATGAGAGCCCGTACCATGGCGAGGCTTGGACGTCTGCCAGCTGGCGCCCTTGGAGGTAGCTTGCGAGCGCCGAAACAAACTCGTCGCATGCGTATCTGCAAAGGTGCATAAGCAGAATGTTAGATTGTATAATGGTAACAAGCAGAAACAACAACGCATTACCTTGAGTAGTATCGCCCGTATGCCTCTTCATTAGTCATGTCTGGGCAGCCCTGCTCAGCCATGAACTTAACAAGAAGCGTGTAGAGCATGATTGGTGCATCATTTCGACAACACCAGTAAGCTGCCTGAAGACATTTCACCACTCTGCGGGTCAGCGGCTCAGCGCTCAGAAGTTCTAGGATACTACGCTGTTGCCTCTCTGTGCCCTTAGCGATATGGTCGGCCGTCACAGCAGCAAGGTGCAGCCTCAAGAACTCATGACCTCTGCAACACCCCACCTGAAAATCACGCGCTCCTATGCCAAGAGGGCCAAACGGAGATTTGCTGTTCTTGGCATGGGCTTTGCAGATCTTACACTTCATACCGTACATCTGTTGCTCGTCGTCATACTCGAGCACCAACCACTTGAAGGTTTGCTTCCACCCAGGGTTCCACTTCTCGACCAGTTTCTTCTCCGACGCAGGGACATCCATGCGTTCCGCGGGATTATCCACAGCAGGAGCGACCTTGTCATCCACGGTCGACACCTTCCTCGAGCGCTTACGAGGTGGAAGGTGTGGTCCCGACCATGACAGTCGCGTCTGACGCATGCGCTGGCCCGGAGTGGAAGAAGCTTCACTGGCGCGGCGAGACACACGATCGACTAGCTGGACCTCGACCTCGTGGAAGTTCTCATCAGCGCCATCACCGGTACTCTCTTTCTCACTATTAGAGTCTAAGGCGTTCTCGTCATCGCCATCACCAAGACTCTCGTGCTCACTATCCGAATCTAAGGCGTCGGGCCTTTCAGAATGGACGGGGGTGTTGAAAACTCGAGGTACTGGGACGGTCGATGCTGTACGTGTCTCACTAGAAAGCTCCATTTCTGCCATGATGCGTAAGTGTTAAACATGGGATTTTTTAATAGGCAGTGCCTTGTGTGAGAGCTAGAAGGGATTGATGGATGGAGTACGAGATTAGAGGAGAAAGGTGACGGAGGGAAGGCTGGCTTGGCGTGGCGTGGCACGTCCTCTCTTTCTCCTCGTCTCGTCGTCGTACCGTCGTGCAGTACGAGGCGCACTGCACGAGGGGGATCTGACATGTGTTTTTCTGCTGCTGGGCTGGTGCGTGCTTGCTGGGGCACTGCACGACGGGGATATGAGATGTCCGTTGCTGCAGCAAGTCCGATTCATGCTTCTGTCTGTGTGTTGTGGCAAGGGAGCGAGGATGTGATTGGATTGGCACAAACACAAGTTCTATGTTGAGTTGAATTGTGAGTGACCCAATCACGCAACTCCAAGTTTGCCAGGTTGGTTGGATTGGATTGGATGGATCCAATCAAGATTGAAACGCGGGGTGGGGGGGGGGGGGGGGGGGGGGGGGGGGGGGCTATGGAGGTTTTTGGGGGGGGGGGGGACTCGATTAAAATCTACCCTTTACACTCCAGACCTAAGCCCTGATTGAGCCCTGTAAGGAATCAGGGCCAGAAAATTTCCAACCCACCAATTTCAGAATTCAAGGGCAACCCAGCCCTGGAATTCAAGGTCCAGCAGGGCAAACGCCCTGCAAGCGACAGGCCTGGTGTGAGACATTGTACGTTATATGTTGTTTTTATGCCTAACAAACGTTTTGAGACACAAATGTATCAGAATAAATGTGCAGGAATGATTGGATTAGCAAGAGTTGGGGTACAAGTACTAACCCTAGAAGTGCTGTACCCTATAAGGAGTGCCCCACTATAGCCTACAAGTAAGATTGTACTTTGACACACCCCCATAGGCTAAGTGGGGGACAACAAGACGGTCACAAGACCAGTCAAGCAAGACAACAGAGCAAAGAAAAACAAAGCTCATGGTAGATCTCAAAGACACCACACAATAAGAGCACAAGTAAATGGCCACAAGGTCAGTTCACATGCAGAGTTATTATAGCAAAGCAGTACACTGATCACAACATAGCAAGAGTAAAGAAGCAGGTATAAAGATATATATTAGTGTACAATAAGAGCAAGTCAAGCAACTAACAGGTGAGGCAGAGTGGGCACACGCTCAATAGCAGTACAGAAACG